CTGCCTCCAAATGGACCTAAAACTGCCATAAGTAGCCTCCTCACTCCTCATTTCCTTCCAGAAGGCCTGACCCTCTCACCTGCCTTTAAGCCCTCAGCTCCTTTGGGGCTCTTGCCATCAGACACACCAACCAGAATCCTTACTTGTTGCAGTCACCTGCCAACCCCTAGTCATCCCATTCTTTGCTCAGAGATGTTCACGCCGGGCTGGTTGTCAACCCTCACACTGCATCAGTCCTAACTCTCAGTGATTTTTATATTCAGAGGGACAATACTTGTGATATGCTGGGCTTCTCTCTCCAATTACCTTGGCCTCTATCCTATCTCAGTCACTCACTCCCACCGTCACAGTCTAGACTTTGTCATTACCGGCATCTGCAACCTCTCCATATTCTCCATTTCAAGCCTCCTATTCCTCTATTTCCTGCCTGTTCCTTCCAGTACCCTGATTTCAAGAGTATCTCAAGTGGGGCTCCCACTCATTGACTCCACCACCCTCCCCATCCTCCTGCCCCTGGTGTCTTCATTTCTTTCCGAATCTGATGGCATTTTGACAAATATATAAGGGAAATGTGAAAGGAAACACTGTAGAAGAAAAAACAGAAATAAGAGGGAATCTATTTTTATATCCAAAATGATAATCCTAACATGCACATTGAAAAATCTAAAACATTTCCTCAGAATTGGGGGATTTATTTCACTCCTACTGTTGGACCAGGAAATCAACCTTCTGGACTATATGTAGTCAGAGTCCCAGGGCGGCTCTTGTATTACACTTCATCTCAAGTAGATCATGTAGGAGTCCTTTGCATAGCAACACAAACTGGCGAGGCTTCAAAGTACAAACTGTTTTGATGGTATAGACTAATTTGACAAAAATCTCTTACTCGGTGGTCCCTGTAATATAATGATTCTATGAAGAGTTATAGTCCAATTTATTTCTGGAATCCATTCTACTACTGAGCAGACAAACTCAACTTTAATTTTATCTTTCTCCTGCAGCATTTGATGAAGTGACTGATAACTTCATTAGAATAGTAGATGGGGCTGTTATTATATATTAACAATCACTCCTAAAAAGAGAAAGATGTACCCAACAGTGCCCAGATGGAAGAGGCACTAACATGATTGCTGTGTGTGAAAACAAGTCATTTGACAGTAATACACCTTGAAATAGTTTGGAACTTCATTTAAAATAACCCATTCACATCAACTAAGGATGGAAAATAACATGGAAAATAAGGTGAATAAAAGCTCCCCTTAAAAATTCACCTTAAAAACTATTTCCTATACTGGCTACTTCTACTGTGGGGGAAAGAAAAAGATATCACTGAATACAGAGGGAAAAAAAATAGACTGGATATAACAATTAGGTAGCAAGTCTATATAAAAATAGATTAAAATGGGAAAAATTAAAAAATAAAATAAAATGGGAAAAATTTAGGGGTCTTTGGGGATTAAGATATCTGTTTATCTATCTATCTGTTTATCCATCTATCTACCTATCATCTATCTATCTATCTCCTGCTGTGAATTTGGTAAGAAATAACATTGTGTTATTTTTTATATCTTTTCATTTTTACCACATATGGAATGAATTGTATCAGAATTGAGACAGAAAGGATGGATCCTTATTAACTTTTTGACTAGAGAGGAAGAATTTCTGAGCATGAACTCTGCCACTTTAAATCAATTAAGTACCAAGAGAGCCATAAACTGGCCCAGGGTTGGAATCTATTGTGAAACTTCCTGGAAAATTGGAACAAAGAAAAGATGCTAATTTCTCATAGAAGGGGGGAAACATCCTTTTAATTGGATCAGATTATTTTTTATCTTCTGGATTTTAAAGACTGACCAGGACAATAAGTACCTCCCAATAAATTTTAACCCAATCAATAGGACTTAAAGATTAGAGAACTCTGCCATTCTTTTACCTGACAGGTAGCAAGGATCAGTGATTTAACAGAGGACTTAGTAGTCAGCATACTTAGTAATGTTTATGGGGTAGTACCTACTGGGAAACTTCACAAAGATTACAAAACTTCTCTGGGCCTCCATTTTCTCCATTTAAAAGCAACTTTACACATGCCTTTTAAAAGTTCAACTTATCAGCTTTTCCCCATTAAAAACATTTGCAAGCATGAACAGATTATGAATAGGCTTGGAGAGGGAGGGTGGGTAAAATAATTATATTTTCTTTTTTTGTAAGCTTGTCCTAAGGAGACTGCACTGGTGGTAGTGGGGTTGGAGACATGGAAACAAATAAGGAGACTGTTACGATAATCTAAGATGGAGATGATGAATGGTGGCATTGGGGGAGGAGAAGGAGACAGAGTTGAGATATATTAAGGGGATAGAATTTATCGCTTCCATTTTTCTGCTCCACTTAAAGCCAGTTGGTGGCATGACTGCACCCCTTTCTCATGACATACAGTTCTTTTCTCTTTCTCCCTTCTTCTTTTCCTTCTACTTCTCACATACCTGATTCCCTATTCTTTTCCCCAGTGTTTCTTCTTCTGTTATTCATGCCCTAACTCTACCAGTCAAGTCTATGGCTCAGCTGGTCTTCCAGAATTCAGGACCCGGAAGGCCCTGTGGGTATAATGCATGTGACAGATGAGGGGTCTCATGGAGATGTCACACCCCCTGATTTAATTGTAAATAGTAAACCACTAAACAATCTCAGGCACTAACACCAAAAACCCTAACAGGAGACACACCCCTATTTACTCCTCTACAATTGACGAATATCATTCAAAATAACCAAGTAATAGATAAAATGGAGGGGGAGCGAGAATAGACAGTGATGGATGGCAGTAATTGCAATGCTTACCATTCGACGCGAATTGCTGTCTTTTACTAAACAAAGTGAGTTCTTTGGTAAAAGATGATACAGCAAAAAAAGCTTTTGGTCATCTAAATAAGATAAGTAGGTGGTGTGACGAGCACATGAGGCCAGGAATAGCAGCTCTGAAACCCTCAGACCCCTGCGTCTAGCATCTGTAGATGTTCACTGACCATGTGCCAGAGGAATGGGTACTGTCCACTACCATGGAAAAGTGTGTTTTAGAGGAAGGCCGTAGAAAGCAGTGACCAGAACAGATTGTGGTCAACCCAGTGCCATCCCCAATTCCTTCTACACTCTTCCCACCACCCCAGGGGAGAAACCTGGGAATTACAGTTTCCAGGATTCTTTGTTTTGCAGGGTCTCAGATTAGATTCTGTGGGTGAGATGCACTCCCGTGAGATTTAGAGGGTGAAAGAAAGGGAAAGAACATTCTCTGGCAATGGCCAGGGCCCTGGCATTAGCAGGCAGAACACATGGCGTTTGGCTGGCAGCACCAAGCGTCCTCCCAAGAATCCACCGTTTTGTGCTACAGGAAGCTAAAATCACAAGTAGTGACTTTCCTGCAGTTCCAGCGCATCGAGATTTTCTGAAAAGCAGGAGTAGCCTTCTTGACCTCTGCTCCCCAAGTCCTTCCCATAATTGTATAAGCCCCTTATTCCCTGTGGTAAATCTCCTGCTCACATGACCTAGAGTAGCTTCTGCTGCACCGAATGAACGGAGACTGATAGTGATTATAAGCTTGGGTACAGGAAGTGTGGGTTACATTAGGAGCCGCCACATATCACCTGAGGGACCTTGTACAAGTTTCTTAAATACTTTAAAAATAATTTTCTCCGTTTATAAAAGTAGGAATAATAAAATTACACCTGCCCTTCTTATAAGGTTTCATCGAAACCCTCGTCAAGGATTAAACGAGTTCAAGCATGTAATAAAAGCACTTAGGACAGTGCTTAGAGCAAATAGGCTTCAAAAACAATGTTAGCCATTCATTTTATATATATTAATACTAGCAATAATGAACTCAACCAATAGCTGTTTCTCCCCATCCTTGTGGCTGGTGTGGGCGCTCCTCAGAATATGCACAGCAGAAACTGCAACTCAGAACACACCACTGTGCAGGGATAATAAAGGTGTGATTTCTGCAACTCCAATTTTAAGAGAATGACCAAAAATTCTGGATGAGGGGTGCCTGCGTGGCGCAGTCAGTTAAGTGTCTGACTCTTGGTTTCAGCTCAGGTCATGATCTCCCGGTCCTGGGATCAAGCGCCACATGGGGCTCCAGATTCTCTCTCCCTCCTCCTCTGCCCCTCCCCTCTCATGCTCACACAAGTGAGCACATGCCTTCTCACTCTCTCTCTTTCTCTCAAATAAAAGAAAAAACAAAACAAAACAAAACTCTGGACAAGGCCATGGATCCACGGCATGACCAAAGCTAGAACTGATTACAGCTCTAGCTGTTACAACAAAAATCTTGTTGGGTGATGACATGGAAGTTGGAGTAGCTGTTAGGTAGAGTAGAAGTTGGGACATCCCATTCCTCTAAATATTGCTCTGTGCTCCTGGAACTTCTTCCATCTCTAGTTTTCTGTGGGTTGGGCAATACATATTCCCAAGAAAGATGGAAGTTGGGAGACCAACAGTGTTAGAAGATGAAAGGTTCAAAGAGAAGCAACACCAGATTAAACCAACGTGGCCTTCGAAGAAAAAGAGACCTTAATCACGAATTCATTAGATGCTTCTCTGTGACATTAGTTTAAGGAGTTTCAAAACCAAAGAGGGGATGACTGTTTTGGCCTTAGAAGATACTTAGATACTTAAGGTTTCACCTCACAGGTGAGGCGGTGAAAATTGCCATGGTTGTGGTCTCTCCCGGAAAAGGCTGCTGGTGTCATTTAAGTCCCATTTTGCTTCTGCTTACCCAGAATTTGAGCAGAGTCATGTTTTGTAATTCTTGACGGCAAGCAGCATCTCCGAGTCACTAGCTCCATAAGGAAGGGCAACGATGTGAATTACTCCCCAGAGCAGAGCTTACTATGGTTCAGGAAAAGGGGAGAGGGTGGCCCCCAGGGAATGCGCTGGGCTGATGCGAGGTCCTTTGATTCTCATGGGGGTTTCCTTGAAGGGTACAAATGCTTTCCCTTGTACCCCTATCATCCAAGATTCCTGAAGGCCCACTGCTTCTTTCTTTCTTTTCATGGAAACTTCAACTTATTTTCATTTTCCTATTCCATCTTTTTCTGTGAAGTGAAAAAATAATCTTAATTAGCCAACTTAGAGACAGCAGCTATCTTTTATTGCTTCTTTTATTCACATTAGTTGATTGAAGAATGTAGGTAAGATGCTCCCACTCTTCAAAAATGAGGCTCTGAAGATAACATTTAGCTAGCTACGGTAATCCCAAATCCAGTTTTCTAGCCACCAAGATACTGATGAGGATGAAGGTATTTTGGCTGATTATCTTCACATAGAAAGTCCTGGCATGGGAGGGGCATCCTGTGGTATATGGAGAAGGTGTGCAGATTATATACACAGCTGGTTCACAGGCTGAGAGCCCTGCGAGGGTGGAAGGGAGAGATTCTGCTTCTTCACCTCCAGAAATCCTAGCCCTGGGTAGAAGGAGAGACTGAAATCCCAGGACACAGCGCCCCTAGCGCTGGGGTTGACCCTTGTTATAAACCCCTCTAATTGAGGCTGCTGTTGGTTTTCTTGAATGATACACAGTATCCTTCTCCTGGAAAGGCTCTTGTGCTGGATTCCTCTCTGATGGGTCTTTTGGGGCCCTCAGGAGAGTTAGTGGGAGAGATGGGGTGGCCCAGCAAAAATTCTCAGAAACGAAAGTCTATGTTCTCCAAACTGGGCCTTCCCAACTAAGAATAACAGAAGGTAAAATAGAAGCAAAAGATAGTGTTCATTACTCGATCAAGTGTTGATTTAGAAAAAAGCCATGCTAGGGGAAGAATGAAGGGGGGGAAATCGGAGGGGGAGACGAACTGTGAGAGGCTATGGACTCTGAAAAACAAACTGAGGGTTCTAGAGGGGAAGGGGGTGGGGGGATGGGTTGGCCTGGTGATGGGTATTAAGGAGGGCCCGTTCTGCATGGAGCACTGGGTGTTATAAGCAAACAATGAATCATGGAACACTACATCAAAAGCTAATGATGTAATGTATGGTGATTAACATAACATAATAATAAAAAAAAAGAAAAGAAAAAAGCCATGCTGAGCTAACTTCATCTGTTTTTTTAAAGAGTATTCTTCTTATTTATTATTTTTTTTCTTCTTCTGTCAAAGAAGAGATTGAAAAATTTAGCCTTAGGGTTAATCTTTAACACTAAATATTCAAATACAAAAAGGAATAATGCTTATGGCTTTAAAATATATGGTACTCATCTCTTGTTGTTTAGGTAGAGAAAGAAACCTACTTAAATGGATTTGAAAGGGACATTGACAGTTTACTTGCTACGTGCCAGATACTGGCCTAAGCCCCTTTAAGGAATTATTTCAGTTAATCCTCAAAGTATACCTTAGGATTATTATTATCCCCATTTTATAGATGAGGAAACTAAATCTGAAAGTATTTAGTAACTTGCACAAAGTCATACCACTAACACTGAATAGGATCAGGATTAGAATCTAAGCAATCTGATTCCAGAGCCTACACTCTTAATCATTAAGCATACTACCTGCAAGAATAAAGAAAGTTTTCTGAGGCACCAACTTCTAGGCTTCTATAAAAATGGTGGCCAAGGGGTGCCTGGGCAGTTCTGTCAGTTAGGCACCCAATTCTTGGTTTCAGCTCAGGTCATGATCTCGTGGATAGTGGGACCCAGCCCCACGTTGGGCTCTGCACTCAGCAGGGAGTCTGTTTCTCTCCTTCTCCCTCTTCCTGTGCCCATCCACATTTGTTCTCTCTCTCAAATAAATAAATAAATCTTTTAAAAATGGTGACCATGTCTTTTAGTTGTGAGACAGCAGGCTCTCTGACCCAACCAAATGAGCCTTTGCTGTTGGCCAGACCTCCCTCCAATCTCCCAACATCCAGCATGTGTTTGTCTCATGGACACAAGTCCTGCTCCTTCTTCACCACCCAGCCTTATCTGAGTCTACATCCAGGTTTTACTAATGGTTCTTAAAGTTAGACAGATGGGGCTACATCATAACACCTCTCAGGGAGGGAGTTGCAAGCCTTACAGAGAAGCTCATCACCCCCAAAGTCTTTTCATCACAAGGATTACTTTGTAAATTGTGTGATCAGATGCAGAGGTTGCAATAATAAACTGTTTACAATAATGTATTTGTCTCCAGCCTAAGTCAATGAGAACCCTATCACATTTCTACCTCCACCAGAGCAATGAGCTATCAGTCTACACTTGGAAATAATAGTATCTTTCATATGTGAAGAGCTTTCAGTGTTACAAAGTGCTTTCATATCTGCTTAATTTTCACAAAAACTCTGAGCTTATTCCCACTGTCCCTATTTACAGATGAGTACATTGCAGTTCAAAGTCATACAGAAATAGCAGATATGACACCTAAAACCCAAGTTTTCCATCTCACAATCTAGTGTGCATTGCTATTATGATGTTACTTAAGGTAGAATTTCACCTTTATTTATTTTCATTCCTGAGGGTAGATGTTCATAACGGTGTATGTACCGCAAACTTTCTCATGTCCTCTAACTTTTAAGTAGATAATAACCACCTAATCAACCTGGATGACTTGAGTCTTAGATAATCCCTTCTGACTATAGGAGTCATCTGTCATCATCTAAATAACTCTAACATGATTCCTGACATTTATAACCAGGGTTCAGAAAAATCTATAGTAATAGACAACTCTTAAGAAATGGAATAACAGCTAGTTTAGTGTTACTGTAGACACAATACTGGATTAAGAGGGTGGAAAATGAGTCCCCAGGAGTGTACATTTGGGCAAGTCACTGCCCTTCCCATTTGAAATCTAAGGGTGTTGGATTAGCATTAGATCATCTCTTAAACTCTCACATTTTATGAGTCTGTTCATTTTGGCTGAGATCTAAAGGAAACCAGTGAATGTGGAGGCAACAGGAGGCCAGCAAGAATAAAGCTGGCTTCTAGAATTCCCCTGAACCACCACCCTCAAAGTCCCAGGTCACAAGAAGATAAATCCTGGGAAGAACTTGGGGAGCTTGTGGAGCTGGATCGGAGGTGTCCCTGCAGAGTCTCACCTAAGCCATGCAGGCAGAGCCCCTCCCCATAGGCTTCCAGGGCAAGGGTGTCAACATCCTTCTCCGAAACAGCTCTCTACTAGCAGTGAGTTCTTCCTTGTCTACCTCCTCAACCACACACCTCGTCTGTGCCCTTTTCCTTCTCTTCCAGTTTCTGTGGTTGAAAAATCTTGGATGACTGCCAGTGGTATAATAGCAAAACACAGAGAAGCTGTTTGGCCAAGAATAGGACTCAAATTTGAGAGACTACACAGGAAATCTTTCCTTTAAACAGTGGAAGAAATTCTGGTTGAGTTCCAGCATCCATTCTGCCTTTCCCAGGTGAATAACAATGTGGTTTGGTGGCTCAGCTCAGCTCCAAGGGCAGGTTCTGAGACACACAAGCCAAGGATCGGATTGTGGTGTTTTTCTGATCGCTCTTGCCAGTAACTGGCTTAAAAATCCAGGTTTGGGCCAATCCACACAAGGCCTTAGTCTGATAGCAGGAAATGATTTGTTCAGGGATTGACCCTTCCAAGTAATCTCTGGGACCTCTTTCCTACTATATCATCCTTGCTCATTCAAGTCCAGCCATACTGACCTCCTTGTTTCTTGAACATGCCTGAGGGTCTTTGTGTGAGCTGTTCCCTGTACTTGGAGTGACTCTCTCCACACACTCTAAAGCTAACTCCCTCATCTCCTTCAATATTTGGCTCAAATGTCACCCTCTCAATGAGACCTACTCTCTCCATCTTATTTGAAATTGAAATCCACTCCTTCATCACCCCAGATTTCTTTGTTTTCCTGTTTCCACCCTCCATAATATCTTTTAAACATTCTATATAGTGTAATTATTTATTACATTTATTGTTGCATATTTTCACTTACTCATATGTAAAACACGTGGTAGGGATCTTTGTTTTGTTCACTGCTTCACCACAAGTGCTTACCCCAGTGCCTGCCTGGCCCATGGTCAGCATTCAATACCTTCTCTTTATGGCACGTTCTTGGCATTGCGATCTCACCATCTTCCTTTCTCCTGCCCCCTTTCCAGGGTACCCATGATGAAGAGATGCCGCTTTGGTAGTCAGGGTTAGGGCACGCAATGCCTGGGCAAGAGCAATGATGAAGCTTTTCCCTAAAGGGGAGAAATGAATCCCCGGTCTCCCATAGCATTTGGATTCTCAAGCTTTCAAAAATGCTACACCAGCATTGGCCAGAAACAGCATGAAATATCTCTATTTGGTCTAAAAATAAAATAAATTTTAAGAAGTCCACTGTGATAAAATTAAAATATGGAACCCAAGGGTGTTCCAAAGTGCTGCCTGGAGGTTTGCTGTGGAAATTCTATGAGCTATTGTTCTGTGAGCATTAGTATTGCCATAAAAACAGTGGGTCTTTGCAAGTGGCCACTTTTCTCTCTCTGAAAAAGCTATAGGTGGAATTTAGGTGTACAGTTTAGAAAAAAAGAGCTTTAGAGAAGTAGATGGATTTGGGGGTCTATACAATTTCCACAAAGATCTCTATATATGGAACATCTGCATGTGTCTGAACTTGGGTGCCAACTAGGAAGACCAGAACCTCAGTCTTGCAAAAATGGCTCATGGGACCCAATAGTAAGTGGTTGACACCATTCCTGAGGGTACAGACCTCTTGTGTGGTGATCTGAGGCCTCCTCCAGGCTGACTGAGTGAGGGAGACAGCAAGGCATGCATCAGGACCTCAGGACCTGATATTGTAGCCCAGTCAGACTGTATTTTCACCTTTCCTGGCAAAATCCCATGAGCCCATCCCCTTAGGCAAGCTTAGATCAATTTTAGGCAGAAAAAAAATGTATTCATATTGATAACATATTCCTACTCCACAACTCAGAGTATCTGAAGTGATAATATTTAAAACAGTACACTAAGAGAAATGATTAGGAAATATTTCACAAAGAAGAAGCAGCAATAATTTTTAAATTTGAAAATATAAATTATGAGGTAATATCTCCAGTTTCACAAGGAAAAGGAATCCCTCTTACTCAGCAGACTCCAGATTTATTTTCTACATTTCTCACAGAGCTGTCCTTTGAACAACTTCCCTTCTTTCTCAAGAAGGGAAGACCTATCTTAAAAAAGTCAACCCAGCAATTATTAGAATTGCTCTCTTTCCTGCTAGAACATATATTTGAAAGAATACATAAAAATACTCTGTTGTTGTTTTTACCGTCTCTTCCATTCTGTAAGCTCAAACAGCTAATCACCCTGAGAGCTCATTTCCCAAGATTCTCTATGAAGAATTTCAATCTCTTTCACAAAGTTCTTGTGATATTTTTTTCTTGTGATATTAGTTAATCCAATAAGACATCTTAGCAAAGCAACTAATGCTTTCATGGAGTCCTCTACCTTAAAGTATAATTAGCTCCTCAACTGAGACACGAACATTGCACCCAATCTTGAATTAGAGCATCAATCATCCACCCTTTAAAGAAGACAAAATCTCTCTTTTTATTGCTAGTCTGCATTCATGGGCCAATTATTTTACCTTGTTCACCTTACTCCTTTCCAGGCTCTGATCAGTCACATAATTGTCTATTATTCTCTGTCTCCCCTTTGGTCTTCTGTCAGTCCTGTAGTCAAAAATCATGGCTCTGATGTGCCACTTTTAACCAAGATGCCTACTCTACTTTGAAGGCTATGGTGGTTCCCAGAAACCGACAGACTCAAAGTCATGAATTGCAGGGACTATTTCCTTCTTGATACCTGAGGTTAGAAAATAACTGTATCAAAGCCTCTTAACCCAAAGTCCCATAGGTGGGCTTTAGGAGAACATGGGAGTCCCATAATTATACAAAAATTGTGTTTATGGTTCTATGTTCACATTTTTTTCCTGGGGAAAGAGCACTTAAACTTCATCAAATTTTCAAAGTAGTCAATGACACTCCCAAGATTAAGAATCCCTGGAATAAAGAGCTTCTTTCACTGACTCCTCTGATACTTAAGGAAAAAGAATGTGGATCAAAATCACCAGAGAACCTGGTCCTCCCAAATGAGGCCAAGTTTGCTGAAGGAAGAACAAATTAGGCAGTTTCTAAAAATAAGAAAATAGAAAAAATTGCCTATTGAAAAATAAAATGTTGTTAAAGATGGTATAGTTTAAATAAACCCCAGGTCCCCAGTGACTTCCGTGTGCAGAGCCTGAGATGGGCTTTGAGACTGAAAACCCTATAACCCTCATTCCTGTTTGCAGTTGCAGATCCTGGAACAGTCTCTTCCATCCTTTTTCCTTTACAAGAAGAACCTTTTGCTCTGATGGTGCAGAACAAATAAATCCAAGTCTAGATATGCAAAGAACCTCCTCCCTGGCTACCTCTTCTCTCCCAAACTACTGACCATTTCCCTCCATAGGTTGAGGTATCATAGTCTTTTGTCCGCAAGTCAGAAACAACCAAGTCTAACAGTTTCACTCGCCATGTTGTGACAATCCCATCAGCAACACCCATATCATAAACCAATGGCAGTATTATTGAACGCAGGTTTCTGTGCTAAGTGCTTTATATGCAGTACATCCTTTAATCATGAAACAGTCCTAGAAGTAGCAATTACTATTAGCTCCATTTCACAGACGGGAAAACTGATGTTAAGAAACGTTCATTTGTGTATCCAGGTTCACACACCTGGTGTGACAAAGCTGGGATTTAACCCCAGTTCTGCTTGACCCCAAAGCCTGTGTTCTAAACCACTTCTCTATAAGGCCACCTTCACACAAATGAACTGGAATGGAGTCCCCTCACGTTGCAAAGCAATTTTTCCAAAGTATAAATTTCACAGGTGTGCTGCATAAAGGTGTTACCATGATCAATACTTGAAAATGCAAATGCAATCATTATATTATGTTCACCTCAGAACACAAAAGCTTGATTGCATAAAAATGCTGCTTTTATTAGTAAACAGGAGAAGGTTGAAACAGTCTTACAATTTCTGTATTGCTCTATCACTACTAGTTCAGAGTATGAAAATTTGATCAAAGCACCTTCTTAAGAATTCAGTTTCATTTGTATTTTCAGTCCCCAAATATAAATACAGCTATGGTACATATCAGGGATATTAAGGACACTTGTATAAAAATGGAATTGAATGGTGCATTGTAATCCTCTTTTTCACCCAGCAGAATTTGGGGGAAAAAAATGTACTTAAGTGACTCTGGAAGCCACAGCTCAGCAAAATGTCAATAAACAAAATATCTCAATCTGATATTTGATATCAAGCATTCAGGAATTATATTTTCAATAAAAGCATCTCTTGGGTTGATAGCACCAAAACAAGAAGAGGTACAAGATTATAATTTTATGACGTGTGCCACTTAGAGGAAAAAAAAAGAGAATTTTTTTTCATTTACTCTGATGTTGTCAAAGCAAATCATCTCCCTACTTGCTGCAATTCTCTCCCTCATGAGGTAAGAGGCTGGATAGGGGAAGATGCGTCTAGCCCCAGTGAGGATCCTCCATGTTTGACTGGCAATGAGAGAAAAGATAGGAGTTGTAACAAATCTCCTCACCATTCTCTAGGTAGAAAGTTCCCCAGACTTCTCTCTCAAAGAATCTAGGGATTTATTCCAGAAAGAATTCAAAAATCAGACTCCTGGGCTCTATGGGGCATGACAGCAGCCTGGCCTCCTTGACGGTCATTCTCAGCTCTGGCCACCAACACCAGGAACCAAGCAGAGAATCTGCAACTTAGCATGAGAAGAATTTGGAAGGAATTTTGAGAGCTGCTATAATCAAGGACCATGAAAATCAGGTGCAGACACATCCGTCAGGAAAAGAGCTTTGAAAACTCTTGTGCATTTGGTGGTTTCTAATTTAGAAGCAGACTTTGCCCGCCGACTGTTCTGTGCTCGCCCGATCTGTGGCACTACTCACTCTAACCTGGCCCATTGGGAAATCACTATCGCCTTGGCTCGAGACCAGTCAAAACCATGGAAATCGCCATATGGTGTGAATCGGGGTTTGTCAGGAGGTGTGGAGCGAGCACACTTCCTAGGCTGTATCCACTGACAGAGCAGGTTCTTACTGAGTCACAGCTGGTGAGGGAAGCATGCCGCTACCCGGTAGGATATGGATGGCATTTCTGAAAAGGTCTCCCCTGTCTTAATTTTTATGAAACCTAAATTTCTTCAAAAACCTAAGAACAAAGTTATATTTGGATGTACTTTCCTTTGTGCTCCCTAGGGGGGAAGAAAAAATTTACCTTATATTTTAAGATTAAAATTTGCCTAAAAATCACAGGTGAAGGAAGGATTCAGTGGACTCATAGTGTCAACCAAGGAATGTCACCTTTCATGAATTATAGATTTTCTACAGTACTGTTTCATCTCAGCTGCCCACCTGAAGTGGCAGGGAGTTAAAAAGAAGTCTCTCTTTAGTGTAGGCTTTTTTTTTTTTTTTTTTTATGATGGAACGCTTTTACCATACATATCTTTTTCTTAGACTTGACTTTTCTAAAAACAATTTAATGGGCGCCTGGGTGGCTCAGTCAGTTAAGCATCTGCCTTCAGCTGGGGTCCTGATCTCAGGGTCTGGGATCGAGCCCCACATCAGGCTCCCTGCTCAGCGGGGAGTCTGCTTCTCCCTCTCCCTCTGCCTCTTCCCCTCTGCTCCTCACCACCTCTACCCCTCCCGCTCTGCTTGTGCTCTGTCTCTCACTCTCTCTTTCAAATAAATAAATCTTAAAAAGATAAAAACAATTTAACATCTCTGAAATTTGTATGTTTCTTAAAATTTACAAGATATCTTAATGTAATTAACATTTCATTTTTCTTAGTTTCAGTGAAATATGGTATTTCCATGGCAATTTACCTAAATCTAAATGCCCATGTAACCCTAAACTTCCTTTTATATAAATAAGCCCAGAGCTATTTTGAGATATACCGAAGACATGAAGCAGAAACCTCCCTTACAGCTGTGTCTGCAGCTAACCGACCTCTGCTTTCCCCAGGAAACTCTGCTCCTCGCCTGGGGTCCTGGGCAGTGACAGACCCCTGCAGTACTCCAGACTTCTCACTCCAGGCTAAAGATGAGCAGTCCTTGCCATGTCATCTACCATCAATAACCAACCACCCCAGGCTACTTTCTTCTCAGTATTTTGTATTTGTCTTTCCAGAGACATTTGCTAACAGGAAACAAAGCAAATAATGTAAAAACTAAAAAGAGTGGACGGGCAAGCTATGTATGGGAAGACCTGGTGAAGGAGACTTCAAATTCAGACTATACCTTAAAATACCCAGGCCCTGGGATCTTGCATATCAGTCGTAACTTCTGAGATCTTCCCTGGCATCGGGGAACCTGTAAAGGATGATGTCATGGCCCCACATTAGTGTAGGTTGACCTCGTACCTGCACAATAAAATAAAATAGTAAAGTAAAACAAAACTAAACCAAACTAAATTAAGTTAAAGCAAAAATTCCTCCCTAATTGTTCCAATCAAAGGATGCAAACTGACAGCCCCCAGGTTTTTTACAGCTACTTCTATGTGTATTTGGCTCTGTTCTCTGCTCACCTGATATTTTAAAAGACAAATGAGGCATTTTTTTATTCTGTACCACAAGCTGCTTAAGCAGTACCACTCACAGTAACATTGCAGTCAGGTGTACAGAAGGTGACTGGGGAGAAGGATGCTGATAAAAATGCTGTTGTGTTGGGGCGTGTGGGTGGTTCAGTTGGTTAAACATCTGCCTTCGGCTCAGGTCATGATCCCAGGTCCTGGGATGGAGCCTGCATCGGCTTCTCTCTCTCCCTCTGCCACTCCCCTCTGCTTGTGCTCTCTCTCTCTCTCTATCAAATAAATTGATAAAACCTTTTTTAAAAATGCTATTGTGTTGATTAACTAGTAGGACATCCCATGTGTTGGGCAGGAAGTGAAACTGAGGTGTGAAACCAAAGCAGAGCAGGGTAGACGGTCTAGATGAAGTGTCTGGCAGGTGTTGGCCCTGGGGACGGCAGCAGGGCTCTGGGAGGCTGGAGACCCAGACCAGAGAGCTGTCCACTAGTGTGCTGTGCTAGCCGGGCGAGGGACAACGAGACTGGAGAAGCAGAACATGTGGAGAGATGGCGAGAGGATCAAGCATAGGTCCTCCGGGGGGACAGCCACATTTCGGGGATCTGAAGTGGATCAGAAATTAGCGAGAGACTGAGGTGCAATGAGGGATGGAAATAGGAGGGCATCACCTGGTGAAACCCAAGGCAGGTGATCAAACGCTGTGAGAGGTCAGGAACAAAAGCCAGAGAGAGATGTGGAGTCTGACGGTGACAACGTAACATTTGAGGCCTGGGAGGGGAACGGTGGGGCAGAAGCCGGATGCGAGAGTCAGCAAGTGGGTGGCTCCTGAAGACAGAACATGAAGACTTCGTTTCAGAAAGCCAGATGGCCCAGTAAAACCACAGAAAGCACAAACCACCTTTCTAACATCCTCGCTAGCCAAGAATCCCGACTGTTGTATATTTAGTAAAATAAAAGGTACATTTATTTTGTTTCGAGACATCTTAGGAACTTCCCAGCTATTTCAAAATCACCCTTTCTCCCACCAAATTAATCAATTCCCTGCTTGGGTGGCAATTATTTGTTGTGGTCAGGATCAGGGATTGAAAATTGACCTTTGTCTAAGGTCAACAGTAGCACTGTGCTTCTGGCTTCTTCCTTGCCACTCAGCAGCTGCCCTTCTAGAATTTACTGAAAACAATTCGTCTGCCAGGAAAATTTGCCAGTGCTATATTTATTGATTTCAGAAAGCTGTGACAAACAACCATGATGCTGTGTGTAGTAAATTGTCAGAATATAGTGTATCACCCAAAGCTCTCAATGGACTTAGGTCAACGCTGTGAAATCATCAGAATCACGGTGGTTTTAGGGCACACCAAATCTGCCTTGGAGTTGATTTTTTGCAGACTCATCAAGCTTCGAGCTTAATCTCACATTAATTGTATTCTATATAAATAACCAATCTTGTGCATGTGGTCTGTGTAATGTCATGTTACGATAAGCTTGAGGAGCATTCAGCTGATATTATGCCCCCTCTGAAGCGAGAAATCTACTCCACTAAAAGCTATTACATATCAGACGAGTCCTCTGCTATCTATGTTATATTTCATCTGCTCTGTGTTTTACCCTTTCAGAAGTAGCAATCTACAGTTAAATCACAGAAAAGAGGATATAAAGTTGTCAGCAGGGGAGGCAAGATAACCATGCTGGCCCAGTCATTTCCCTCAACGTGTCTCCTCATTCTGAGTCCTGTGCCTCGGGACTTTAGTTTGGTCTGTGCACCCAGCATTCAAGTTTCAGGAGGTTGAGCTCATGCTGGTTGAGCTGGAGAAGATGATCAAGGAAATGCCAGTTTATTAAGTGGCCATGAGAAGCTCAGGATTCACAGCAGATCAGGAATTCGGCAGGGCTCGTCAGCACCTTCTCCTGTAGGAAAATCCATGTGCGGGAGGAGAGCAGGAACTGGGGCCCCAGGGAGACCTGGCCTTCACATCTTCTCTGCCGCTCACTGGCTGCGTGAACCTGCTCAATGAACCTCTCCGTGCTGCAAGGTCCAAAGAGGGGCAATCAGCACATGACAGTGTTCTTTTGTGAGGCTGTCGTGAGAATTAAGTGAACAGATTCACGTAAAATGTTTATCACAATGATAAGTAAATGCAGAATGAGAATTTACTACTATTGCTGTGTGGAAGGATGAATCACAATCAGATTATTTGGTGGCCAGAGAATCAGAGAAACACTGCTTTGATGAAGAATCTTACTCCATTAGTATTTGCTTCTGAGCTATTTGTCATGCATAGTGAGAACCTCCTCTACCCAGAGCTGTAAAATTATTCTCCTATATTTTAATCTAGTATTTTATGGTTTTATTTTCCACATGTAAATCTTTGCTCCCTTTCAAATATATTTTGTTTAAGGAGTCAGCTTTATTTTTTTTCCTTAAATGGTTATTCAGCCATCCCATTTCATTATTTTTTTTTCTATTTTCTCTCTTGAAGGATGAATTTCTGGGACTGGGGGCTTACTTTCACACCATATTTGCTCATCGCTGGTATGAATTCTTTTTGAGGAATTTTATCTTTGCAACTTTTAAGTGATACACATATGGCTATAGTTTTGGATCACTTTGCAGATCAATATAGGGAAATTTCCTCAGAAAGGCAGAGAGCATTACATTGGGATCTCTTTCTAATTGGAGACTATTAGTTCAGCACAGACCCTTCCATGTTGCCCTCTTCACCAGATTGCGGGGGCGCGGGGGGCGGGGGGCCTGGCTCATTGCAATAGGTGGCTGGTTGATCCCAGGAAAGGAGGAAAGGGCCAGGAGCCAAACACCTGAAAAATCTGGAAAAATGATTTAATCTTTGAGCCTTAGAGTTTTCATTTACAGAATGAGTGAAATAACACCTGTCATTTTCCTCTCAAGATTGTATAAGGATAAAATCATATCACAGAAATGCCTGTGCTTTGAGAAAGCAGTAGGGCTCTCCATCGTGTGGGCTGCTGTGGACGGTGGGAGGCCGAAGGGATCTTTGACCCAACAAAGGGAGGTACCTCTTGATCACCTCAAAGGGAACCTTAGGAGTTGTGGGGAAAGGAATCTACCTGGGAAATTACGGATTGCATTTGGAAAATTGGAAACAGTTCTGGTGTAATTAGGGACCATCCACGATGTATGGATGACTGTACCAGTATCTCCTGATTGGAAATGCCTACAGTTATGGAGCCTTCCGCAGTCTTGGTGCTGGAAAATGCTACTATCTAATAACAGCGGATAACAGAAAATGCTTGCAGACTCACGGAGCCAGGGTAACTCCAGACTGTGCGTTCACATCTCTTTCCTACAATCAATTCTCCCCTCTCTGACTCACACACACGACTAACACATTCACTCGGTGCTCCGCTCCTAATTTGTAGGTATGTCTTCTCGAACATTTTAGGAGGGAGGCCACTGTCTGTGTGAACGGTGCACTCTGAAGCTTACAGGATACACAGCCTTCCGCAGCAGCGCTGTTTGGGGGAGGGAGGGTATATTTAAGGAAATAGCTTTAATAAGGTATGAGCAATTCCCTACGTGAGTCTGCAAACTTTTAATTCACAGAACAGCATGCTCTTTGAGAGTCTGGAGCACTCCAACTGGGACTGCACCTACAGTAGCAAAGCAAGCTAGATGATGTTCCAAATCATCAGTCTAATTAGCTGCAATTGTTTTTAAAGCCATTCCAGTGCTGGCAAATGGCGTTCTAGGGCACAGATCTGCAAGCTCTTTCTTTCTCCCGAAAGGGCAGATTGTAAATATTTTTTTGCTTTGCAGACCACATAAAGTCTCTGTCACGACTACTCAGCTCTTTCACTGTAGCATGAATACACTCAGATATCATATGTAACATGAATGGACAACATGGCTGTGTTCCAGTAGAACTATTTGTTGCCACTAAAATTTAAATTTTATATAATATTACCCATCGCACACACAAAGGCTTTGATTCTTTTTTCAACCATTTAACAATGTAATACCCTTATTAGCTTGATGATGGGCAAATACATAAACAGGTGGTGGGTCAGATTTGGCCCACAGGGTACATTTCGTAGATGCCTGCTTTAGGTCCCTCACCGGAGGGTCACTCCAGAGGGACCAGTGAGGGCCACTGCTGGTGCTGGATTGCAACACTCTGGCCCAACTGGGCCCCTGTGGGGACACTGAATCAACCTTGATCTGAAAGTGACCAGCCTGAGGGAAAGGGGAGAAGCTCATTACAAAGCTCTCTTCATAGCTCTTTGAGGGTCAAGATAACCACTGAATTCTCTGCCTTACCCTTGTCAATGTTGGTGACATCAAAAAGCTAGAAAATGTTGCCTGCTGGTTTCTGGCAATGCTCTGAAAGTTTTTAAGGCCATCTCATTTGGATTATTATAGTCAGGATGAAAGTCCTGAGATGGCTCCTTCTTTCTGGGGAGACCCCTGTAGACATAGCATGTTGCAGATTAGAAAACATTCTCCCATCGCATACAACAAGCCTTGAGATTCTTTGTTTTTATTTGTTTATTTTTTGGGTTTGGGTTTGTTGTTGTATATTTTTAGGAGATACTAAAAAAAAAAAAGATAAAAGAAAAAAATCTTAACTTTCTACCACCTGCTACTGAATTAAGCACTGGTATGAAAATGTAATATTCTGTATGGTTTGTTTGATCACACTGTTCTCTGATGCCATATCTAATTTTTCCAGCCTGACCTTTCCTAAAATTCTGCTGGCTCTTTCATTGGGATTTAAATGAAAGGGCAAAGCATCTTGCATAAATATAGAAACAGAGTAAGAATTGTATAAAATCTACTGAAGCAAGAGAAACTCAGGGCAA